GCTAGGGTGTAGTAAATCACAGCTTCATTCAAACACCTTCCAACTTTGTTCTGTATTTTGAAAGCATTCCTTTTCGGCGGTAAAAATTGAACAATGCTGATCAATTTGCTTATTCTCACCACCTGTCTGCTTGATGGTCTAATGTCACTTAAAGGAGAAATCAGATATTGAAGACTCACCACTTGACATAAGGATCTGAATAGCCGTTAGCGTCCATGGCTGCTAGTCCGGCACAGCGAATCACACCAACAACAAGTTGATTTTTCTGTGACTTGTAGTTAAGGGAGAGCTGAATGCGGCCAAGATCAGGCTCCGGAGATTCCTGCAATAAATTGTAGTTTTGACAGTCCGTGCTTTTAAATTTGCTTTCCCTCGGTGACCTTCTTGCTTAAGTCAAAGCAAATTTAAGGCTTATAAATCTTCACCTTTTTAGTAAGATGATAGACTTTTAAAAACAAGTTTAACTTTGAAAAGTGAAAAGTGAACATCATCCCATGTACTTATTTAAGTGATCTGCAGCTTATTTATAAATTTCATTGGTTGCACACTAGGGTTTCATCCACAGAGTAGAACCACTACATGATCACTTGACACAAGATTTGATCCATGGAACAAAATTTTGGCATTCTCTACTTGCACAAATCCCATAATACACCTCTTTTACCCCCCCCCCCCCCCCCCCCCCTTTCGCGTAATCATTGTTTGCAATTTCTCCTGGGACATAAAGATGTCCCAAGAGAAATCTAAAACAATGCCTATGCAAATTTTTTGGGGGTAAAAGAGGTGTATTATGGGATTTGTGCAAGTAGAGAATTAGAAGTCTGTTTAGTTTTTAAAGTTGATTGGTTTAGGCAGAACTTCAATGTTTTGCTCGTTGGTGAAGGGAAATATTATAAACATTTATGGTACACGTCTATAGAAAATGCCCAACTCATCTGTTACATGACATTCACAGAGTTTTATTTCAGTTCTAAACACAAGTTGTTAGGATTGTGAAAACAATTACAATTTTTATTGCAGTTGATAATGGTTTAATATTCTAAAAAGCAAAGTAAGGTAACATACCCGTCCATCATCAAACTTTTTCATGATCCACAATAAGATTTCCACCAATGACAGAAAGGTACAGATATACAAGGAAAAAAGCAACACATGTTAACATAATGGCTGGGGGAAAAAGAAACAAAACACTGACGGAAAAGTGCACACTTATAATATTAAATTTCATACTCACAGAAGCTCTAGAGACAAGTGACCTTTTCAGTGACTGCAAAGGCTTACTGTGGAAAATTTTAAGAGTCACACAAGTCTCCCCAATAAAGCTGTTGCGACCAAGTTTATCTTCATCAAAAATCTGAAGTCTGTTGGAAGAGAAAGCAAAAGCAATAAGTCTGATTTATGTGCACTGTTTCTGTGGATGGTACATGTGTAGTACATAATAAGTTATCAACTAACTTGAGGATCAAAGCGGGTATTATAAACTAATTATCTACCTGAGTGATTTCTTTGATATGTCGTCATCTGTGATGCCATGGTATACCAGCGTTTCATCAAATTGTGGGTTAAGAGTCTTGTACTTTGTATGAGTCCTTAACTTGTTACTCTAGGAATGCAGTTTAAGGTGGCATATCAAGTAAGGTAGAGGCAATTAAAGATGATGTTAAAAGTAAGAAAATGGTGTGCCACCCACAGCCTTGCTAGACTGGACACTAAATAACCCAGGGGTTTCAATCATTAATGTCTACAGCAGGACTGGCAACTGGTTTTTGGAGGTGGGCAAAATTTTTTGAACTGAACTTCTTTACAAGAAAAACTATCCTCTAGATGATCAAACCAGGTGGGCAAAATCATCCTCACCGCCGGTCTATTTGCCCAATGCCCAGCCCTTAATGAAATCCCTCAGTGATACCACTTACAGTATAAGCATTGCTCCCTGAAAGGAAATGTCATGTATTAGAAAACTTCTTATACAGCATTCAAACAAATCAGACACCACACAAAGCAAGACACCGAGACATGGGGTGGGGTGAGTATATCTGTTACAATCTTGAGATGATTCACATTTCTAATCCCCATTATGAGATGATAATGAATTTGTACTTAATATACAGTACAGTCGAATTAGCAAAAGGCACACCACTTTTTCACCAAGAAAAATGTCCACTTATGAGAGGATGGAAGGTTAGAAATCTAGTGTCTCTACGTGGATGGGACCATGATTAAATGTGTGCCATGAAAGGTGTCTGTCTACCGGAGGTGTCCCTTCACAAAGGTTCAACTCAATTTCTAGTAGGCGCATGTATACAGACTGTACCTTACTAGCACCAGGGAGAAGGTGAAGCTTAACATAAGGATCAGATGTACCACCAGAATCCATAGCTTTCAGGCCCTGCAAAAAATGAATCAGAACAAAAAAGATAAGTACTGTAAGTTAAATAAAATTTACAAATTATGAATGATAACCCAGATAACACACCACAAACAAGATTAATGAGAGTCATATTTTCAAATTAAAGAGTTTTTCAAGAGGAACTTGTCATCGTGGAGGACTCCCATATAAAAAGGACAGGAATGCTTGTTGAACCTTTTAGGGGTTAAAAGAAAATGACAGGAGATAATGTGTTGTTTTAGACTTGATACCTCTTCAAGGTGAAAAAATTCTTGAAGCCATGCTCACAAAATAGGATCTTGGTACCTTGCAGGGGTTCTTTGCCAAATTTCAGACAAGTACCCCCTCCTCTTTATTCATTCATTCATTCTGTTTATTTTGCCT